TCAGTTGTCAGGCTTAGAAGCAAATTCCTTTGCCCACTGAGTCCCCTCTCACTGGAGTCCTAGTGTTCTTTGTAGGTTAAAAGAACTACCCAAACAAATGGACCCTGCCCTGGAAAGTTCAGGTGGAAGTGGAATGCTTGAAGAGAGGTCATTTGGCCACTAGGGGGCAGCATGCAGGCATGAGTTCTCAAATTTTAAAAGCAAGCAAAAAAAGGCTGCTACTTATTTGGAAAAACAAAAAAACCACACCAAACAAAAAAACACACTGGACATGTAATGTACTAAATACATTAGGATTACCTTAACCCTAACCCTTTGCTTCCAAATTTACTAATAATTTAGAATTTAGCCGTTTACCTTTTGAACATATATTTTTCTCTTCTCATTTCTAGCCTTCATTTCTGCTATTAGTCTTATTATTTTCTCCTTTCCTCTCCTCCTCTCTGTCTCTCTCTCTGTCTCTGTCTCTCTCTCTGTCTCTCTGTCTCTCCCTCTCTCTCCCTCCTTTCTTTTCCTTCCTAACTAACCTCCCTCCCCCCTTTCTTCTTCTGGTGGGATCTCACTACGTAGCCTTGGCTGACTGATGTGACTATGAAGACCAGACAGGCCTTGAACTCATGGAGATCCTCTTGCTCTCCCTCCCAAGTGTTAGGCTTAAGGGTGTGGTTCCCCGCCACACTTGGTAGCCTCAGCCTCACTTTTGAGTGGGCGATAGTTTACAGAGGCTCTGATCATTTCCTGAGTGAACAAATTAACTGTCACTGCTGGCCATTCTTTTTTTGTTGTTGTTTTGTTTTGTTTTTCGAGGCAGGGTTTCTCTGTGTAGTTTTAGAGCCTGTCCTGGAACTAGCTCTGTAGACCTGGCTGGTCTTGAACTCACAGAGATCCAGCTGCCTCTGCCTCCTGAGTGCTGGGATTAAAGGCATGCACCATCAACGCCCAGGGGTCATTCTTTATTGTAGATGTAGTCCCAACTTTCTCTACCAATGGTAATGTCAGAATTTATCTACCCTCGTAGCCTACAAAGCTTCCACTAACTACCATCTTGCTCTTGGAGCATGTGGAACAGTGGTCTAACCTGTCCTGGCTCGTCTCGTTCTCGGTTGTGATGGCGTCTTTCTCTCCTCTGAAACCATGGGAAGTCTCTCCTCCTCTCCGGGCTTCCGGCCTTGCTGCACTTCTTATCTGGGAGACCTTTCAAGTTTCATCCTTTAGCTTTCATCTCAAGAACCAGTATCAACAAGGCCATACAGCATGCAACTGCGGTGATGTTTTATGATCTAACAAATAAAGCGTGTGTGCCTGAAGGTCTGTGTGCAAACTAGCCACACTAGTTAGCCATAGAGGCCAGGCAGTGGAAGGACACACCTTTAATCCCAATAGCCACACTAGTTAGCCATAGAAGCCAGGGAGTGGTGGTACACACCTTTAATCCCAGCACTCCGGAGACGGACAGACTGATCCCTGTTAGTTCAAGGCCACCCTGAGTTACACAAAAATCAGTCCAGTCTAAAAGAGAAACAGCTCACACAAAAGTTGAGCACTTGGGATCACGAGTCTTTAATCCCATCACGAGAAAGGAATATAAGGTGGGAGGAGACAGGAGCTGAAGGCATTCTGAGGTTTGGGGGAGACAGATACTGTCTGGAGATGCAGTCTGAGGACGGGATCACCCTTTGGTCTGAGCATTGGTAGAGGTGAGAACTCTCTAGAGGCTGGCCACTTTGCTTATCTGATCTTCAGCTTTAACCCCAATACCTGTCTCTGGGTTTTTATTATTAAGACAATTAGAATTCAGCTACATGCAACCTTTAGGTGAAAATTCTGAATTCTTCAGTGGATTTTTTTTATGTGCAGACTAAATAAATGCGCCATATGCCGTAAAAGCCCTCCTTTTTCTCTGTTATTAGTTTTCATAGTCATCTATAAATCTTTATAGTACAAGTGTTCATCCAATGGGGCAGAGGATGGGAATAAAGGTAAGAGTTCTATCTACTTTGGTAATACATCATCAGTTCTGTGAAGATTGACTTTTATATTTTAGAGTATTGGCTTGTGTGTGTGGGTACATGCATGTGGGTGCAGGTGCCCTTCGAGGCATCTGATCCCCCGAAGCTGGACTTACAGGTGGCTGTGAGCTGACCAGCATAGGTACTGGGACCCAAATTCAGGTCCTTTGGAAGAGTGAGACATACTCTGAACCGCGGAGCTATCTCTCCAACCTTTATACAGTTCTTTAATATCACATTGTGTTTGTTGTTTCTTCAGAAAACAAAACTCCATGGGCAGTGATGACACATGCATTTAATCCCAGCAAGAGGCAGGCTGATCTCTGTGAGTTTGAGGCCAGCCTGGTCTACAGAGCTAGTTCCGGACAGGCTCCATAACTACTGAGAAACCCTGTCTCAAACAAACAATGCAATTTGCCTCAATCCTGTGTGTGTGTGTGTGTGTGTGTGTGTGTGTGTGTGTGTGTGTGTGTATGGTGTGGTGTGTGTTGTGTGTAGGTGCACACGTCTATACCCCACACAAATAGGGAAGGAGGCACTGGGTACCCCGTTTACCTTTCCTCACCGTAACCCCTTGAGAAAGTGTCCTTCACTGAACCTGCAGCCGAGCTGAGACAGGCAAGTTCAGCTCTCCCTCCCCACCCGCCCCCGCTTCGCCTCACCAATACTGGGATCATGACCAACATTTTAAGTGGATTCTGGAGATTCGAACTCAGGTCCTCAGACTGAACCGTCTTCCCAGTCCGAGTTGCCTGGATCTTAACTTAAAAACAACCCACCAGACAGAGTTTTTAAAAATAATTAATCTTAAAAAGTCGTGTTAGGCCAACTTTAATAGTGAATGCAGGCGCTGGAGAAAAACGTAATGGAGGAGAGCGGAGGCGAAGGAGGCGGGTGTGGGCACTGAGCAAACCGTGTGCGGTAACAGTGGGGCGCAGGGGATCCAGTGTGCCACACTAAAATCCCCATCTTGTCACAAGACAGTGCAGCCTGTCCTTTGTTCCCCTGTGAAAGTGTCCCCTCTTTCTTGGCAGGAAGAAAAAGCAATGTTCACCACGGCGATGGCATCCGGACAAGCCTGCCTTCTGAGAAACCCTTTGCCTGAGTTTCCTGTTTCTCTTTCAGTTATTTGCCGGGGCAGAAGTCCGGATGCAGATGCTGGGCTTTTCTCCTAGGTGGGCCTGTGGCTTGGAACCACAGGGAACATTGCGCTTGCAGTCTGTGCCACTGAGGAAAACAGGAGAGCCCACTGGGGAGGAAGCAAGCTCAGTCAGATGTGCACAGTGTGTGATGCTTGCCGGGAGGGGGAAAAGGAGTATCTGAGTGTTTATCAATATATATGCAATGCCTCCGGCTCCCGCCTAGAAATTCTCTTATGAAGGTCCTCTATTATAGGCAAGCGTGTAGATGGTCATTTAACCCTTATAGAAGGACGATCTAAAACCAACCCGAATAACCAAGAACTGGAAAGCAATTAGTGTTTTCAAACGATGGAATTTTATTTAGGCATCATAAAAAAATGCAAGTTAATACATACATTGTCAATTCAATTATGCAAGACAGTACACTATAAGAAAGCAGAAATACGACAGTACTGTAAGTATTTAGTTTACTTTAGTTTTTGTTTATTTCCAAACAGATTCTCCTGTAACCCAGGTTGGCCTCAAACTCCATTTTATTTCTGTCTGTGTAAAAAATACTTCTGCCTAATCAATGTTACCTTTAGAATCAAAATAAGTTTTCATTTATACCATAATAGACCTTTTAAGAGTTTAAAAATTTTTTGGTAATTTATTTATTTATATTTATTTCTGTGTGAGTGTTTTCCTGCACGTGTGCACAGCCACATATAAGGCGGGTGCTGGGGATCAAACCCAGGCCCTCAGCCAGAGCGGTAAGTGCTCTTCCCTGCTGAGCCGCCTCCCAGCACAGAACTCATCCAGTGTCTGATCTCAAAGGTACAGTCTACAGTGACAATGGCTGCTGCTGGCTTTCCCCCAGCATCACTAAGAATCCACCTCTGCTACCCTACGCCCCAGCTGCACAGCAGTTTTTGAGCCTAGGAGATGCTGTTGATGGAAGTGCAGACCGGTTGCAGGAGGGACCCCACTAGTTTTGGCGATGCCAGCACCAGGCCACGGCACAACTACCAAGGACAGCAGTGGAGTAGAGCCAGCCCAGGGCCCAGAAGACAAGTTGTGTGTGACAGAGCGCAGAGCCAGAGAAGTGGGCCAAGCCCTTTGGAGGAGACGAGATCTTGAGTGAATCCATTGAATGTTGAGTTATTTATACTGTTGGGGTTTGGTTGTGCCTGGTTCAGACTGACTGAGCCCTGGTTCTTCCCTCTTGAAGTGGGAAGGTATTTAATTTAATTTAGATTTTCTCTTACAGGTGCCCACAGTTGTAGGACTTTGGATTTTTAAAGAGACTGAAGTTCTGTCTGTTTATTTTTATAATTTTTATGTACATTGGTGGTTGTCTGCTTGTGTGTCTGTGTGAGGGTGTGGGATCCCTTGGAACTGGAATTACATGTGGGTGCTGGGAATATAACCAGGGGTCGTCAGTACTCTTAACCGCTGAATCTCTCTCCAGCAAAAGAACAACTGTCTGTGACTCTGGTTCCAGGAGATCTAACACCTTCATACCACTGCACATAAAATAAACTTAAATTATTAAAAAAAAAAAAAGATGCCTCCAAAAGATCTGGCTGTAGGCAAGCCTGTATGTCATTTTCTTGATTAGTGACTGATGGGGGAGGGCCCAGGCCATTGTGGGTGGTTCCATTCCTGGGTTGGTGGTCCTGGGTTCTATAAGAAAGCAGACTGAGCAAGCTTTGAGCAAGCCAGTAAGCAGCGCCCCTCCATGGCCTCTGCATCAGCTCCTACCCCCTAAAGATACTTTAAATGTCCTGGGCATGGGTCAAAGCAAATTCTCACATATGGTGATGGTTTTGTTTGGTATTTTTTTCCTTCTCAGTGATCCTATGAAGACTCAGATGGACACGTGGATTTTAATTTATTCCATTTTATGTACATGGTTGTTTCCTTTGGTGATTCCAGGACTCAAAAGACTCACTAGTTAGCATACATGGCTAACATTTATTAGGGCGACAGTCCCAGAGCTGCGCTGGAGAGAGAGCTCAGGTGGATGAGTGCTCGTTTATCAAGTCCGAGGAACTGGGTTTGGATCCTGGAATACAGAGAAAAGCCAGAGCAGGCTGGGAGTGCAGGTGATGGGTGGATCCCTACAGCTTATTCTGGCTTATATAAACATGGGTATGTGCTCCTGCACATCACACACACACACACACACTGGCTGAGGGTCAAAGGTGGCTCTCTGGAGACATATCAAGAGGAAACAACCAGGTCTGTTCACTCTTTGGCGAAATGTCTGTACAGCCTCGGATTGTCACTTACTACCCATCCCTGGCTTACTACGGGGAATAACACAGAGCTAATGAGGGCTGGCCCAGAGAAGGTGGTATTCAGACCACTTGCTCCCTAACTCGTTTCCTGTAGCGTCTCTTCCCAGCTCGACATGGTCTAGCCCCCCATTTCTGAATCTTCTGCACAGACAGGCTGAGCACAGGCATCAGCTGGTGCTATTTGGAACAAGGATGGATACAGCTCAGCTGTAAAAACTACAGGCCTTACCAGCTTAGTATAATTTAATTCCTTTATCTTTTACCCGCAAACCTGCTTCCCTGCCTAGATTTTCTATTTCCTCTGTCTTTGCCACTACCTTTGACTCAACCTAAAACCCTTGAGTTCACATCTTTTCTCCCCTCTCTTAACTACAATCATCAAAGCAACCGGTGTTACTGCCTACAAACTTCCTGAAGCTACTTCCCTTCCCATCTGACCTAATAATCTCCAAGGAGTGGGGCAGAGTTGGCGTTCTCAGTCTTTCTAGAATTCTGAAAATCACCTCTTACCTTCTCAAGTATTACAACCATTCAAATCACTTCTTATTATGTTCCTGTGTAGCTACTCCCTCCCTCCCCTCCTGTGCTGGCTAATTTTATGTCAACATGACACAAGCAGGAACTCATCTGAGAGAGGCATTAAGAAAATGACTCCAAAAGATCTGGCTGTAGGCAAGCCTGTAGGTCATTTTCGTGATTAGTGATTGATGCGGGAGGGCCCAGCCCATTGTGGGTGGGGCAATCATTGGGCTGGTGGTCCTGGGTTCTATAAGAAAGCAGACTGAGCAAGCTGTGAGGAGCAAGCCAGTGAGCAGCATCCTCCATGGCTTCTGCATCAGCTCCTGACTCCAGGTTCCTGACCATGTGAGTGCTTGTCATTGTTTCTTTACAATGTTGAGGACTGGACCACAGTCTTGGGTACACTACTCCATGCCTGAACTACATCCCCACCAGTGTCCAGTGTCTACCAGTAGTAGGTTTCTTAGAAAAATAATGTGTACTTAAAATTGAAAATGATGTCCTGTGGGAAACTCAGTTTCTTGGAGTTCTGAGTCATGTTACAAATAAAAGCTTTCTGGGGCTGGAGAGATGGCTCAGTGGTTAAGAGCACTGGCTGCTCTTCCAAAGGCCCTGAGTTCAATTCCCAGCACCACATGATGGCTCACAACCATCTGTAATGAGATCTGGTGCAGGCCTGCATGCAAGCAGAACACTGTATACATAATAAATAAATCTCAAAAAAAAAAAGCTGCTTTCTGTGTCTCTTTGTTTTATCACATTTGGGGTCTTCTCTTTGTTTGTTTCCTTTCCCAGTCGCCTTCCCTTTTTTTTTTGTTTTTGTTTTGTGAGACAGGGTTTCTCTGTAGCTTTGGAGGCTGTCCTGGATTAGCTCTTGTAGACCAGGCTGGACTCGGAACTCACAGAGACCCACCTGCCTCTCCCAGTCACCTTCTTATGGCATCACTCAGGGTCATCTCCATGTCTATTCCTTCCCCAGCTGTCTCATGACATCATTCAGGGTCTCTGCCTGTTCTCTTCGCCAGTTGTATTCTTCAGACTCTTTAGACATGGCTGCCAAATTTCATCCCTATAAAGACAATAGCGCAGGGAAAGACTCCAGGAAAAAAGTTCTCTTGTGGGCAGCTCTATTTCCTAGATCCCTTCTGAGATAGTAGGTAGCTACAGAAAACTGTGAACATGTAACATCCACCTAAACACCTTAAAGATGCATGACCCATAAAAATAAAAAGCCTTTTATGTCTTAACTTGAAACCCTGCAATGAGATCCCACAAATAGTAGAAAAGTTCTTAGCCATGAAAATCTCTCTCAAACTGCTAAAAACAAATGTGATTTGATCGAACAATTTGCCTCTCACATGTATGCAATTGTAGATTTTTGTCCCTTGATGTTTGTACTAAAGTAGAAAGTCAAGCTATATTAGTATCAGGAGGACTTTTCTGATATTAGCAGTGGGAATGGAAAGTTTTTCCCTGTTGATCGCACTGCTTAAATGTAGGAACCATTGCACACGAAGCAGCGACATCTAGGGAAACGGTTGCCAACGGTGTTGGGCACTGCATACAATACAGCCTATGTATCCTCTACAGAGCTTAGTTAATTCATACTTGGTTTTGTGGCTAAAATAAGATTTACAGACCCACATCAAAGAATTGTTTCTACACTGTGTGGCAGGACTATAGATTTGCCCATAGCATGGGTGAAATCCTAGTAAAAGCAGTTACATGCTTTATGTGACTTCTGCAAAACTAGCATGGCGACATGTTTTCAGGAAAACATTGACATTTTACAAAAGATCATTCCTTTCAAAGACACTCATGTTTCTCGGGTGAAGAGATAGTCCAGCATGTTCTCCTCTTTGCAGAGGACTGAGTTCAGTTCCTAGTACCCACACTGGGCAGCTCCAGGGAATCTGATGCCCATTTGAACCCTGAAGGCATTGCATCCACACACGCACCTAACCCACACAGAGACACACACATACACACATAATTGAAAATATCTTAAAAGCTGATTCTTCTTAGTTGTGGTCTTATAAAATTGTCCCTTTGAAATTACTTGATAAGAAGGTTCAGTGGGGAAAGAGCTCGTGCAGGAATCAGGATATGCACTTGGGTCTCTGAAACTCCTACTGAAGGTTGACTGCTGGAACATGTGTAAATCTGAGAACTGCTCAGAGGTGGAAGATAATCTCCCAGAAGCCCTGGGGACGGGTAGCCTGGCATATATAGCCAGGAACAAGAGGCCCTGTATCAAACAAAGTAAATAAAACACAAGGACCAACATCTTAGGTTGGCCATTAACTCCAACACACACACACACACACACACACACACACACACACACACACACACACACACACACACACACACACACACACACGAACACCTGCACATTCACACATTGATTTAAAGAGTTACTTGAGGGCTGGAGAGATGGCACAGATGCTCTTCAAGGGGGCATGAGTTCAATTCCCAGCAACCACATGGTGGCTCACAACCATCTGTAATGAGATATGGTGCCCTCTTCTGATGTGTACATGGAGGCAGGGTGTTGTATTCATAATAAATAAAAATAAAAAAGAGTTACTTGATATAACAAAACAAAACTTAAACATAATTTTCCAGAATATTTTGTGTAAGTAACACATATTACTTTCAGTTATAGAAGCTTCTGGAAAACATCTGTTTATGGAAATAAATTTGATAAGCAGTTTTTAAAAAATCTATTTCCCATGAAAGATTAAATCATTATTCACCAAAATACTGGATTAATCATGCCAAAAGCAGTTAATGTGGTGTGGCGATAGCGTCAGTAAAGCCTCATTAAGTAATTGATTTGAATTCTTCTTTAGGGGGTAGAGATTGAGATAGGCTCTCACACAATGCTGAGTATGTGCTCTACCTGTCGCCCAAGTATAGTAACTGAAAAAGGAACAAAAGACTATAGCAAAGGGGACATGACTAAAAGTATTAGTTCCATTTTTAAAACACAAATTTCCAGCTAGGACTGATTGCTTAAGGTCCTTGAAAATAAGTCTTAGCAATACGTAATTTTGGGTATTTTCAGTTGAGTGATAGTTTGAAGAAAGAATGCTAATTTTCCTTTCTGGGTGATTCTGTTAAATTTGCTATAAGACTTAACAGAAAAAAAAAATCATAAAGTCCCAAGTCCTTAATTTTCTTTCCCTGGGTATTTTTATTTCCAATAATGATTACTGGCCAGAAAGTCAGATCAACTTTTGTTTCACACTATTGGTATGTACTTCATTTATCTATTACTCTGTGACACTAGGCAAGTTACTGCTGTCCACCCAACATTGTCACCTGTTAGAAAAAGTGTGTTTAGGCAACTTAGCCTTTTAAAATACTCCCCACTGTGTGTGCATTAAGTGTGTAGAGGGCAGCGGACAGTTCTCAGGGTCAGCTTCTCCCTCCACTTGGGATCCGGGGAGGGAACTGGGCTCTGTCAGGGCTTCACACGCTCAGGGTCAGCTTCTCCCTTCACTTGGGGATCCGGGGAGGGAACTGGGCTCTGTCAGGGCTTCACACGCCTCACTTGGAGCCACGACATCACCTCGTGCAGGCAATTTTACAAGAGAAGATCTTCAAAGTCTCCTACGTCCCTCCACGGTAGGGAGGGTGAACGCTGTCAGCTACTCAGCGAGGTTGCCTGTTATCCATACTCCTCCTCTCCATTGAAGAATCAGTGACCCAGAACTTCTTTTTATATTAGAAGTGTTTTCACAGTGACCATGACATTAAGAGCCATCTGAAACTGCAAAATAAAGCCTTTCTTTCTCATTATTCAGTCTCTACTTATTAAGGATTGTACCAACCCCAGATATGGTCGCTGGATAAAAACATCTTCTCACAAGGTCCTTGGTTAAAACAAAACACACATCTCCACTTAAAGGATGGAATTGTATTGCTGACACACATAAGGCTCAGGAGGATCATCGAGGAAGAGGAGCAGAAAGAATGCAAAGGAGGGAAGACCAGGAGTTTGCTGTGAGATCATGTTTCCTAGGAATGTCAGAAGGTACACCCTCTAAGTCTTACCAACAAGACTGACTAAAACATGAGCTCTACCGAGTGAGCAGGGGGAGTCCCAGAGACCCCAATCCTACACAACATACTACAGGCAGCTAAGCAATGTTAGGAGGGAAAAGCTGCTCCAGGAGTGGCAGAATAATGCTTATCTAATACCAAATGGTCAGCCCAGAAAACATACATACGAGTAACATTCTGCAGACTGAGCAGTTGGTATGTACTTATTTAGAAATATATATGTATGTACATATTATATGTAACAACAATTAATGATAAAAGAAGTCATGAATTTGGAAGAGAGCAAGGGAGTTAAATAGGTTTGGAGGGAGGAAAGGAGAAATGTAATTATAATAACAATAGAAGAAATAATTGAAACGAGAAAGATGTGGAATTGGGAGGGGAGGGAGGTAAGGAGTGGATCTGGGAGGAACTGGGCAGAAGAATTACAAAATACATTGTATGGATACACGAAGTTTTCAAAAGAAAGGATGGAGTTCACACTCGCATGCCTCTCAATACAACCCCCCTCTGTGGATATGGGGGCACATACACTTAACCCCAGCACTTGGAAAGGAGCAGACAGGTCTCCATGGGTTCCAGGCCAACCTATCTAAAACCCAATCAAACAAAAAGCCTCAATACATTTCCTCTCCACATGCTTTTGTTTCCACTTGATATTTACAGAAATCCCAAGTATCACAGACAATTTCAAGGCGGTATCGCCATTTAACAAAGGATTGGTAGAATCTCACAGGCACTATGCCATTTTTTTCTCAGATTGTCAAAGGAGGTCTGAGGTAAGAGCTGCCAGCCCCACGTAGCTGACTACGCACAGATTCTAGGCAACCATTGGGTGTACAGATTACTACAAAACACCTCTAGAAAGACAGCCTACTAGGATAAAAGGGTTATCTACAAGGACAGAATGTTTTGGTATCTTTTTTAAAATGACATTTGTAGCTCTACCTACTACAATGTTGAACAACATATCTACTATATCAATAATTTGATTTTGGACAAAAATTTTGAAGTTTCACAGGCAAAATCAAACCGTAATTTCAATTTGAACACACAGCATAAATCTCTCTTCTCTGAATTTCAAACCTTTCCCCTGCTTTTAGGAAACATAATTGCATAATTCAAACTCCTTCAATGCTGTGACCTAGTTCCCCCTCTTGATGTTATAAATGGCTCATGTAACTATGGTAACCATCTAGGGAAAACGAATGTTTTTCTGGTCAGCATTATGCAAAGTATAACATATGCGTTACTTTTTTTCTCTGTGTGATAACTGAGGGACAAAATGTTTGCCTTTTTCATTAGTTATGAGAATAGTATGCTTAATTTCTTATCAAAGATAGTTCAAGTAATTTCTGACTCCTTAATTTAAATGTTTTAGAATAACTGTTTGCTATTAGTCACAAGTTATCACAAATGCTGAACAGGACTGCTATAAAAGCTCAAAGTAGATAAACTCCATAAAACAATCTTGATAGAGAATCTGATATTTCCTTAACTTTGTCTTATTGTTCTAGCTAAAGTGTCTTCTTAAAAGAAAAAACTGCTAAAATGAAATTGCATCTCCAGGGTACACTTAGATACTGGTAAGAGGTGTCTTCAGTTGGTGAAGACTTTTATACATATGCTTTTTAATTAACTACTGTATATTAGTTGTATTTATAAAGCAATTAACATGTCTTAAAACTGAGCTCAGTAGAGATCTAGACCATTAATTAGCAAGTTTATTGGTTGCCTTTTGTACTGATGAATTGAAGTTTTGGGCTTTTCAAGAGAATTTAAAATACCTCACAGGATCACCCAGAACAAATCACACTCTACAATTAATATAAACTTCTAGATTTTTAAGGATTCATTTGCATTAGGTACAATTACATTTCTATAGTGAGCTGTCATTTGGTGACCTTTACGATGTTTTGAAGACGAGGTCTCACTGTGTAGCCCTGGCTGGCCTGGGACTCCCTCCGTAGACTGACCTTGAACTGACAGTGACCTTGAACTCACAGTTTTAGCTGTCTCTGCCTCCGGAGTGCTGGGCTATCACACCAGCCTTGGTGACTTTCTGATATGAAGATTTCATTTACACTAATTTCTTCCCATATTTTTAAGAGTGCTTTTCAACCATCTAAATATCAGAAAAATATTGCCTTTTCATTAAACTCAAGAAGGAATTAAGTGCTCTTACTGGTTTAGGAAAGACCACACTAACCAAATGATGTTTGAGACTTGATTGGATCCTGTTAAACCAAATGTGAGATTAAATGGGATAGTAGACAAATGTGAAATTTTAAATTATAAAAGAAAATGAGTTAGGGCAATGGTAATGCATGTCTAAAATCTTATTATCTTTTATCTGTTCCTAGATAAAGTATTTATAGTATTTTCACATAAGTTTTTTTTTACACTTTTTTTTAATATGCTGCAGGATTCTTTTTTTTTTCCTTAATTTATTACCTGGTGTGAGGGTGTCAGATCCCCTGGAATTGGAGTTACAGACAGTTGTGAGCTGCCATGTGGGTGCTGGGAATTGAACTGAGGTCCTCTGGAAGAGCAGCCAGTGCTCTTAACTGCTGAGCCATCTTTCCAGTCCCATATGAATGTTTTTTGCATACATGTATGTATGTGCAGCATGTGGGTGCCTGGTACCACAGAGGTCAGGACATTGGATCCCCTTGGAACTGGAGTTATACATGACCGTGAGCCATCAGGTTGGGGGGTGGGACGACACGTATCACGAGGTGTATCAGATTACCAAATTTTCCATAATAAACGATTCTCTCCCCACACATCATTTACACAAGACTTTACTGAAGGGAATCGGGTACAGCACAGCAAGGGACCCTAACCCTAAACACAGACACTCCTCTTTGATGAACATTCTAGGAAGCAGTATCGCCCAAGATCTTCTGGCTGGCTGGTCAATGGCCTCATAGAGTTCCTGCCTTAAAAATTAGTTTCTAATTATTTTATGTGTGTAAGTGTTAGCTGCATGTATGAGTGTGCCCCCATCTATCCCTGATGCCTGCAGAGGTCAGAGAAGGGAGCCAGAGCCTCTGGAACTGGAATTAGGGATGATTGTGAACTACCTTGTGGCTGCTAGGAATTGAACCCAGGTCCTCTGCAAGAGCAGCAAGTGCCCTTAACCACCGAGCTAACTCTATAGATCCTCACATAAGATTTTAATAATCCAAAGAGAACAAGGCAGCGTTGGTGACACTCACCTTTAATCCCAGCACTCAGCAGGCAGAGGCAGGCGAATCTCTGTGAGTTCCGGGTCAGCCTGGTCTACAGATCGAGTTCCAGAACAGGCTCTAAAGCTACACAGAGAACCAAAAAAAAAAAAAAAAAAAAAAAAAAAAAGAACAAAACAAAAACCAAAATACTGTATCTCCCTTCCCCTCCCCCCCAATTAAATATCGTCAAGTGGAGATCTTTAAATTCTGCATGTTGGAGGGCTAGGAAGCCCAATCTGAAGAGGCTGAGTGGCTACTTAAAAGGACAATGATAAATAACTCAGGATCAGAGTTGGGTTGAGGCACTGCATCACCCAATTGCCATTTCTATATAAATACTAACTTCCCCCACACAGGCCGCTTTCAGAAGAAAGTCAGGATTAGATTAACCAGTATAAACAAATACAGCAAGAAAAGCACATCTGCAGTGATTCATACATGTTATATCTGAAGTTCATATACCCATACCGGTGGAAATACAATAATCTGGATTTTTTTTCCCTATTTCATCTGTCAGAATTATGAGAGGTTACAAAAATGCTCTCCAAATCCTTTCTTGCTTCTCAACTTTTTTTGTTGTTGTTTTTCTCGAGACAGGGTTTCTCTGTGGCTTTGGAGGCTGTCCTGGAACTAGCTCTTGAAGACCACGATGGTCTCACCGAACTCAGAGATCTGCCTGTCTCTGCCTCCCGAGTGCTGGGATTAAAGGCTTTTTTTTTTTTTTTGTACTTGGGAATTCTGCATCACCGACTGTCCTCAGTTTCCACGCGTCAGGTAGATCTGCAGATCAGTGAGCAGGCTACATAAAATCCTTAAGTCCAAAGTGCCTAACTCCAATTAAAAACAAAACAAAACAAAACACCTCATCTTGAAATCGATCTTTCAGCGGGGATTAGCTGAATCAAATTTGTGAGTAAACAAAAATCAAGTTCTGGTTAAAAAAAAGCTCCTAGTCACCTTAGATTCTTTTTTCTATTTATCTTTACTTTATGTGCATTGGTGTTTTGCCATGGGTGTCAGGTTCCCTGGAACTGGAATTACAGGCGTCTGTGAGCTGCCATGTGGGTGCTGGGAATCGAACCCAGGTTCTCTCGCTGGAAGAGGAGTCAGTGCTCTAACCACTGAGCCATCTCTCCAGCCCGGTCACCTTAGATTCTTAACAATGATTGCTTCCAATAAGATTTGGCTCTTGAATATGGAAGAATTTAAAGAATGGCAGGAAGAAAAGTCGCCCAAAGCTTTCAGAAACTGAATTGTGTTCTGCCTGGGTTAAAGAACACACGGAGAGTTCTCAGTCCTTTACAATATCGCCGTGTTGTGTGTCACGAAATTCACAATTTCCCCTGGACCAGACCCAGGTTTCCCTCGGCATGCCAACAGCTGCTTACACGCACACCGCTAGTCGGAAGTGTTCCCAACAGGTCGTGCAACAGGTGCCGGACTGCAAACCTGGCAAGAGGACCCAAACTTACCACTCACAACACGCTGCTCCCAACACGGTTTACACAAGCGCCTCATCAAAAATTCGGCGAGTACTCCTTCTGCTCACGCAGATTTCCCCAAAAACAAAACTCACGTATTTACAGACACTCCGGAAGTCCTCCGCCCGGCCCGGATTTCACTGACAGCACTCGGAGGGGGAGTGAGCCGGGAAACCGCTCACACCGAGAGCACCGCACCCGCAGGCTGCTTGGGTTTTTGAAACCGTCTGCACCGCTGCCCGGCTTGGCAGGGGTAAAAACGAGTGAAGGTACACTTGGCCGTGTGTGTGTGTACGCGCGCGCGGGCTTCTCATTCCACGACCCAGCCAAGTCCTCGCCGGCGTTTGACGCTTCACTGATTCGTGGTCCGACCCCTGACGACAGTCTCTCTGAGGTGGTTTCGGGGGACAGTCTTGCAAGCTTCTCCCTGCACCGAAACGCAAGGCGCTCGGGGAGGGGGAGCCGACCCTGCGGGCCACCCCGGCGCTGGGCGAGGGGGCCGCACGCGAGGGGGGGGGACTCGGCGCTGAAGAAGCCGAGGGAGGGCACAGGGCGCACCGCCTACCTCCGCGGGCAGCCCCGGGGCTCCGGGAGACCGGCAGCGGCGGGAGGCGACCGGCCGCGGCCGCGGGGCGCTCGGCGGGAAGCCGCCGCGCATGCCCGGAGCCGCGCCCGCTGCACCCTGGGTCGCCTCAGTTCCCGCAGGCCTCGGCCAGCAGCGCCCGGGGGGGCCCGCTCGCTGTCTCGGAGGCTCGCGAGGGAGGCGCTGGAGCCGCCGGATGGAGGCCAGGTCGGTACCACGGGGTCGAGCGAGCCGGGCCGGCTCTCCCTTGTCCCTGTGCGGTCCAGAAAGGCGAACCCGATCGCCGGGCCTCCCGGGGGCAACCGTCAGACGCCGGGCGAAGGGGGAGGCTCGGCCATGCGGCCCCTTTAAGAGGGGGCGGGGCGCAGCCTGCCGTTTGGCCGCCCTCCGCGCCCTCCCCCCCACCCCAGGCACGAGTTGACAGACCAATCGCCCGGGTGGCGCAGGGAAGGCGGGAGAATGCGAACCCTTCGGTAGGGCGATAGGGGCGGGGCCCCAGCCTTATTAGGAGGGAGCGCTGCGCAGGCGCAGACGCGGCCGCTGCCGAAGGGGCGGGGGCAAGTCCACTGAGACTCCGTCAGGCACCGAGGCTGATAGCGAGGAGAGAGGGCGGCGAGGGACTTGTCACGGGGATCTGGGCGAGCGGGCAGCCCTGGTAGTGTCCGGGGGACTCCCGGGGGGACCAGCCGGTGTCACCGCCCGGGAGCCCGGCGCCGTCGGCCGCGGGGAACCCCGCTGCTCTCTCCCGGCGAGGGAGGGGGCCGGAGGGAGCCCCGGTCTCGCCCCGCCCCTGGGCTTGTTACCGCGGGGGCGGGGAGTGAGGGTTTCTTCTGGGGGGGGAGTGGAGATCGGGGGACTCGGCGGTGCCCTCTCGAGCGGCGGCCGTGTCCCCGCGGCGCCGGGCCGCCGAGCGGAGGAGCGGCGGTCGTGGCTGTTGCATGTGTGGCTGCTGCTGGATGCGGAGGCGGCGGCGGCGGCGGCGGCGAGGAGCAGCGGCAGCGGCGGCGGCGGCGGCAGGATGTTAGGGCAGCAGCAGCAGCAGCAGCTGTACTCGTCGGCCGCGCTCCTGACCGGAGAGCGGAGCCGGCTGCTCACCTGCTACGTGCAGGACTACCTGGAGTGTGTGGAGTCGCTGCCCCACGACATGCAGAGGAACGTGTCGGTGCTGCGGGAGCTGGACAACAAATACCAAGGTACTTTCTCTCTCTCTCCGCTGACAGTGCCCGTGGGAGTGCAGCGAGCGATCTGCCGTGCGGGACCGGGAGGCGGGGGGGGGGGGGGTGGTTCACTGCAGACCGGCCTCGCGGGCCTCCCCTGTCCCGGCTGCGGCTCCCCGGGACTTCCGAGGGCCGCCCGCCCGCCAGCCCCCGCTGCAGCCCAGGCGGCTGGCTGCAGCTGCCGCGGCCGGGAATCAGCCATTTTAAGCGAGCATTTGTTCCGGTGCCCGCCGGCTGGCTGCCGCACGCCGTCCTGCCCCGGGCTGGCGAATGTGCAGTGGGGCGCGGGCTGGGCTGGGCTGGGCTGGGCTGGCTGCTGGGCCTTCTGGCCCCTGCCCGCCGGGCTCCCTCCCTCTGCGGGCAGATGCAGTGGAACGTGCGGGGGGGAGGGGGCGAGAGGACGGCCTCCCCCGCTCCGGCTCCCGGCGTGGCGCGGGACCGGGACAGTCTGGGCTCCCCTCTCGCCCCGGGGAAAGTTCCGGGCCGCCCGGTGCCTCAGCCCTTTCTCGGCTCCTGCCAAATGGGCAAAGGGGGAGGGGTCCCCCGCAGGGCCGGGCGGGGAGGGTGCGCGCGCGTGTGTTTGTATGTGTGTACATGTATGTGTATGTGTGTGTGGGTCTGTGTGTGGCGGGGAGGGCCCCGGTCCCGGTGTAGGGGCGGGGCCTGCGGGTGTGACGTCGTATGGGCGGGGCGCGCGCTCCCGCGGGCGTCGGCCACGGCGTGCAGCTCCGAGGGGCCTGGGCAGACGGAACCGACTGCTCGCGGGGAGACCCGCTGGGCGGGGCCTGGGCGGAGTCGGTGTTGGGGTGGTGATGTTTCAAATCTCTCCTACCCAGTGAATCAAGGCGCGGGCACTGCCGTGGGTCTGTCGCTGACCCTGGCTCAGCGCAGGTTCCGGGCTATGTGTCACTTCCGGACCCCTGGAGGAAGTGGGTTCGTTGGCTGGGCAACCACCTGGCTTCCCTCGGCTTCCTCCTCCACCAAGTTTAAACGAGGAGAAAAGCTTTTTTTTTTTCCCCCCCCTGTTGGTTGTCGTCAAAAACTAGGACAGAGAATCATCTTTGGGAACTGTCGTACCTTTCTGCTGCTGGGACAGGAGAAATTTAAATGGGGATATATGTTCTTCCTTTAGTAACCCGAGTCAGGAAACAGCGTGGACCTGCTGTGGACCGTGAAAACGACTTGTAGCCATTCTGTTTGTCCAGACATGTCACTAAGCCCGTAACTTCATCCTGTAGGCCACCTCATGGTGACATTGTTTTAACATGTTAGAACACTTAGGTGCCTCAACCTACAATTTTGTTTTCTGAGTTTCTGGTAAGACTAATTCTGTTGGGAGAAGACAGTATTGTTTCTACAGTACTCCAGTATCATCAGGTTCAACATAGGAGGTAAAAAAAAAATCACCTTTATAGATAAAATTTACAGCGCTAAAAGTAACATATTAAGTTAATTGTGTGGAGAATATTTTATTTCAAAGCTGTCTACTTCAAGAACACAACTGTTTTCAGATGGTGTGACTCCTCATTCAAGGGATTGAATTCAGGGCTCACACACACACGATGGATAGAGAATTTACCACAGTCCTAGGGGATTTACCCCTGTTCCCACACTTTAAAAAAAAATGAGCATCATCCTAGTTTTTTGTTTTGTTTTCTTTTTTTTCTGTGTGTAGACATGGGGGACATACATGAATGGCAGTCTAGCAATGGGACACATGCTTAAGAACTGTCAGAATTTGTAGTTTTCCTTATATTAACACTGTATTGTATTCTGTAAAGGCCCCAAAGTGAAGCTAATCTAGGATGGTAGTGACATAATTTTTTGGCAGGGAAGTCTGAGATCCTAGTTAATCTATAATTGTCATAAATTGCTCAGATAACCTGAGTAGGAGACCTTCCAATATTGAAATGGCCATACAGACCATCAGCTCCATTGTGATTGTGGATAAATCTAAGATTAATATAAAAATAGTGGCCTAGCTTCTGCTCTATGCACATACTTGCTAAGCTCAACTTCACAGTTTTGTTTTTGTTAGAAGCTTTATATATTTTCGTATTCCTGGTTCAGATTTTATTTTCACTGATTCTTAAGTATTTTCTAATATGGGAGTCAGTGCTAATATAACGGTGCTTTAGGGAGGGAGCCAATGAAATTGCTCCCTTACCTATGTGAGTCTTTCAGGAATTACTGAACAGTCTATTAAGTAGAGAAATACAGAAAGACAATTGAATTAAATATTCATTGCAGGATATGGTTATTAGAAAACTTTTATGGTGGTCTCTGCAGCATTTTATTCATAATTTCCTAGGGAAATAGCAACCTTTGAGCTAAAATGTATTATGTAATTCCAAGTGCCTTTCTTACGGTGTGTGGAAAGTGCTGTAAGATCAAATGTAGGTTTGGCAGTTTCTTACCTTATATAAAAGTGATGGCATTCTCGTGGGTTTGCTCTGTATAGTTTTGTTGGTGTTGTTTGTTTAAGTGCTGGCCATTGAACCTAGGATCTCACACATATGGCAAACAGTCTACCATTGAATTATCCGACATTTTGATTCAGGAGCTCACTGAGTTACCTAGGCTGGCCTTGAACTTGTGATCATCCTACCTCACCTTCTCAAGTAGCTGGGATTGCCAGCCACTGAGCCCAGCAACATAGAAAAAAAATCTCTGTTCCATAATATAGGCTGAGTAAATGATAATTTCTTTTTTCCCCTCACTGTATAATTAAGGTGTCCTTAAAGCATAAATCTTTATCTCATTACAGTGTCAGTGTGCAAGTATGATACAAGGAACAGCTAACCCGATCAGGAGATACAGAATATTTGGAATCAAGTTTATGTTTTTGTAATCTTTAAATTACTTTGCATTTAGCAAGGAAACATCTATTTGGTAGAAAACTTGACTCTTAGGAAATGCATTTATATGCCAGCTTGAGCAAAACAGGGTAGATTTGAATTTTGTTCAGAAATGTGCTATGCACAAGACAGCAGGATGGCTTAGTTGGTAAAGATGCTGACAGCCAACCCTGATGACCCGAGTTCAATCCCTGGAACTCACAGGGTAGAAGGAGAGAACTCCCACAAATTCTCCTCTGACCTCCAGTCTCGTCCCTTCAGCTGTAGTGGCAAAATTTTCTGTCCTGTATTAATACCTGCAATTTCCAGGGAGGAGGGAACCCACAAATGGGCTAATTATTTGCTTTCGTTGCCTGATTTTAGACAGACACTGTCTGTATTTTATTTATTTAATATTTCTGCTCTTTGTAATAGTCATTGGGACATAAAACAGTGGTGCAGGATGTAATGGTAATAACAATGTATGCTGTGTAATATTAGAAATTAGAGTTAATGTTTATTTTTTTACCTCCAGCAAGGCAGATTTCTTTGGTATAAGCATTGTGCCTTATAAGGGTAAGAAATAGAACAGATTTGAATAAAACTAAACTTAGATTTTTGGTGACTTGTAAAGTTGTACATTCTGGTGATTCAGCCATTGTCTGATTTAAAAGTGTTCAACTTTTTATACAATTGTATTAGCAGCTTCCACACTCGTAGAGTCAGCTGCTGAGTTAGATGTGACGGGAGGATGATCCAGTGCTGACTTTACTGTAATGTTGGAGTGGCTTGCTCAGCGGATGCCAGCAACGGCAGGTCTACTCTGAAAATAGTTTTGATTTTCAGAATTTCCTCTGTGATGCTAAAATAAAAGAGCCATTAAAACTAAGATTACAGGAAGCTGAGAGATGCTGATGTCTGCCTTTTAAAAGAGTGGGGGGGGTGCGTGAAAATTAAGGTGATGTGTCTGTCTCTCTGGAGTCGTGTAACAAGTCCCCGATTGAGCTGTAAGCCCTGTAAATACACAGGTGGGTAATAGTCTGTGGCGGATTCGCAGAACCACCTCTTGAGTTTTATGGCTGGAGTTCACATATGTAGAGTTGTTTTGATGTTCAGCTAAAGAGTAGGCAATAAGGAATTCAGTAAATTCTAAATTAGCATGTGATAGCCTTTTATGGTTATTAATTTACTCTGTGTGTGTGTGTGTGTGTGTGTGTGTGTGTGTGTGTGTGTTGTGAAGGTCAGAGGTTGATGTCCCACATCTTCCTTGATTGATTTCCACGTTGGTTTTTGAGACAGGGTCTCTCACTTAAGCTCGCTGATTGAGCTAGACTGCCTCTGACCAGCAAAACCCCAGGGACTCTGTCTGCATCCCCAGCACTGAGGTTGCAGATGCACACAGTCACACTGCCTTTTATGTGGTGTCAGGAATGAGTTAGGCCCTCATGATTATGTGGCAAGTACTTTACAGACCAGCTATTTCCCTGTTCCCCTTACCTTTTTAAATACAGATAAACAATACTAAATGTTTAAGTTCTTGCTCACTGCTAATTACCTTTGTCATAGGTTTTTTGCTGTGATAAAACTTCATGACTAAAAGCACCTTGGAAAGAAAGGGATTTATTTAAGCTTATTGGCTGAGGTCGTAGTCCATGTGTGGGGAAAGTCAGGACAGGAACTGAAGGCAGGTGCTGGAGACAAGGGCTGGAGCACAAGCCATGCTGCTTCTTGCCTTGCTCCTAGTGGCTCGCCTAGCCTGCTTTCTAATGCAGGCTACCTGGCCAGGGTTGACACTGTACAGTGAGCCAGGCTCTCTTTACATTATCATTCAGGAAATGCCCAAAGGCTCAGCTTACTGATGCATTTCTCAATTGAGAGCTCCTCTTCCTCAATAACTCTAGCTTCTGTCAAGTTAGCAAATTAACAGACAACCTTTACAAAAAATTTTAAATTAGTTTCCTCTAATCGTGTTTGTGAGTGAGCACATGAATGCGTTTATGGAAGTCAGAGGATAATTTGCAGGGGTTAGTTCTGTACTTCTACAATGTGTGTTCAAGGGATCAAATATTGAGGTGTTGTCAGGGCTGGCGAGGTGGCTCAGTGGTTAAGAGCACTGGCTGTTCTTCCACAGGATCTGGGTTCAATTCCCAGCACCCAAATAAGGCTCACAAGACACATTCATGCATACAGGCAAAACACCAATGCACATACATACATACGTACGTACATACATACATACTAACATACATACATGCATGCATACAGACAGACAGACCCAACCCAAATTGAGGTTGTCAGGCCTGGTAGCAAGCTCCTTTACCTGTTGAACCATTTGCCCCTAAGTATACTTTCATATTAATGAGGTAGAATTTGTTTGAAGTAATGTTTTTTAATGTATACATACTGACAAATGTGGTTTCCTGCTTTAATTCTAACTGGAAAGTGATATGTGTGCTAAAGTGCCATAATGTTCTCCTTTTTCCCCTTTTTTAGAAACTTTAAAGGAAATTGATGATGTCTATGAAAAATATAAGAAAGAAGACGATTCAAACCAGAAAAAACGCCTACAGCAACATCTGCAGAGAGCGTTAATCAATAGCCAAGAATTGGGAGATGAAAAAATTCAGATTGTCACGCAGATGCTCGAACTGGTGGAAAATCGGGCAAGACAAATGGAGCTGCACTCACAGTGTTTCCAAGATCCTGCTGAAGGTGACCGAGCCTCAGACAAAGCAAAGATGGATTCTAGTCAGCCCGAAAGATCTTCTAGAAGACCTCGAAGACAGCGAACCAGTGAGAGCCGTGATTTATGTCACATGACAAATGGAATTGAAGACTGTGATGATCAGCCACCAAGGGAAAAGAAATCCAAATCGGCTAAGAAAAAGAAACGCTCCAAGGCCAAGCAGGAAAGGGAAGCCTCGCCTGTTGAGTTTGCAATAGATCCCAATGAACCAACCTACTGCTTATGTAACCAAGTGTCTTACGGGGAAATGATAGGCTGTGACAATGAGCAGTGTCCCATTGAATGGTTCCACTTTTCCTGTGTTTCACTCACCTACAAACCGAAGGGGAAGTGGTACTGTCCGAAGTGCAGGGGAGACAGTGAGAAAACAATGGACAAAAGCACTGAGAAGACCAGGAAGGAGAGGAGAGCGAGGTAGTGAAGGCCGCCCACGTTTTACAGCGTTCTTTGTCTTTTATATAACTGGCTTCTCTCGGAAGATGTTTTAGGGTAAATGCATAAGACTATGCAATAATTTTTAATCATTAGTATTAATGGTGTATTAAAAGTTCTTGTACTTTGTCTGTGACCTTAATTTTCTGCACTGAATTACCAAATATTTTAAGCCAGGTGGTCTTGAGGGCACCTGTGGAAAGGAGCAGGAAACAGGGAGAGAGTGGGATGAAGGAACTTCAAGCAGCTTCCCAAACCACGCCTTTGTCATTTGCACCCCAAACCCCCATGCTGTTTTGTGGGGTAAACACAAAAGTTTTACTAACATCTTAGTTCTGTGTGCTTAAAATTTTTATGTATTGTTGGATTTCTCTGTGTCAAATTATCTTGGTAACTTCAAATATGAACACTATCCTGTTTAGAGATTCTTACTGGCCCCATGTATTCATAGACTTGTTAAATCTCTAGTCTTCCAGAAATTCCGGGAACTAGAGAGAAGAGTTACTTGTGGTTCCCTGTGGAATAGTGCACTCTTACTGGAGTATTTGCTGCTGTATTTCCTTGGTAGCTTTTGACAATTGCCAATTGTAGCATCTGTAAATGCCGTTGCTTTTTCAGAACAGATGCCCTTCATCTAGTGCTTGATAAGAGACTTGTTTTGTTTTGATTGGGACAGGTAAGGCTAGTTAGAATACCAAAACACTACCATTGACTGGCTCGCACTGGCAAGGTTTGGAGTATTTAGCATCATGATCCAGGTTAAACAATTTAAGGATGTGTCTTGATATTTTCCTTGTGACCCACTGCTGGGGCATGTAGCCACAGACCTGTCAATGGGAAAAGGGCATACATGAGTCTTTAAACATTGCCTTTTCTGTCAAACAGTTATTTTAAATAGTTTCGCTGGGGGCTAGAGTTTATTTCTATCCCAATGAGTAATTATACATTATTTTAAATAACTATATTTACCTTAACCTCTGGTACTGGTGCTGTTTGATGTTTTCATGTTTTTGAACTAATTTCATTTTAACAATACAATTGATAATGTATTTGTAAATTGAACCTTCCAGGATTTTGACATTTGAAGGGCAAGCATTTTGATGGATATATGTCCTTACATTGGAGCAGTTTTTGATTTTGGGGGGGGCAGCAGATGGACCAGTTCTATAAACTTATGTGCAGCATACTTCTTAGTCATCACTTCTCATCTGATCTTGATTCTTTTTTATTAACATGTGAAAAATCCTGTCTGCTTGTTTGGAAAAAAAATTGTTTTGTTTTTTCTCTTCAAGCTGTCTGTGTGACTTGTAGGCACTTCCTTTCACCTTATCGGAACATCAGGTCACTCACCTGTAAGATGAGATGGCAGAAACGTCTTCAAGGCTCTTTTGAAATCTTGGTGTGGTGAAAGATTTAATAATGGCATGTTTTTCTCTTTCATTACTGCCCTACACCTGAGGTACGAAGACAGTTTAAGGTTAGAGGATGAGAAAAGAACATTACTTTATTTCCATCCCAAGGGTATGTTGCTTGGTGACTATTGTCAGTTGATGACCTTCTTTCTTTTTTTCTTTCTTTTTTTGATTTTTCGAGACAGGGTCTCTCTGTGTAGCTCTGGTTGTTCTGGAACTCCTGTAGACCAGACTGGCCTTGAACTTGCAGATCCGCCTACCTCTGTGTCCTGAGTGCTGGGATTAAAGGAGTGTGCCATCACCACCCAGCTAATGATCTTCTTTCTTTTTTGTTCCCCCCAAGACAGGGTTTCTCTGTATTGTTTTGGAGGCTGTCCTGGAACTCACTCTGTAGACCAGGCTGGCCTCAAACTCACAGAGATCCGCCTGCCTCTGCCTCCCGAGTGCTGGGATTAAAGGCGTGCGCCACTAACGCCCGGCTTGATCTTATTTCTTAAGCAAGAAATATGAGCAGAATGATGAGCTTATTTTTAACTTTGTTGAGTTGTAAAGAAACCCATTTTCCTCTTGAGAATACAGCTGTTTAACACCATTCACATGATCATTGTGAACAAAGCTCTCCAAAACTCTGAGATACGAATATGGAGAATTCACCACTCTTTCATTCATAAATGCCTCACCATGATGAGGGAAAAAAACAAAACCCACAACATTTTAATACAGGCATCCATATTTGTGTTAGTCTTTGACAGGTAGATGGACCTGAAATGTCTTGTCTTTCAAATCTAGTGTTTGAAACAGGTTTTATGAATTAATTTGTTTTCTGTACTATGTGGGAAATAGAAGTCATAAACTTGCATAGCATTATGATTGAGATTTCTTTGTTAAGTCTTATCTCTTATGCTATGTCTCATACACTGTGTGACAGAGATTCCCAAACTTAATGACCTCAGTAGGTGTGAAAGAAGCACCCGGAACCTGGGCCCGAACTGCAGCAGTTGTGATAGAGAATTCATTTGGAGTGTGACTTAAGCACTGGACTCTTGTAAAAGGACCCCAACCTAACATATAGGAAAGTTTTGAAAGCACTGCCCCATTTTGACATTTGCAGCCTATTGAAAACTCCTGGGAGATTGTTGCCATTCCGATTTTCATAGCTCCAAAGCTACCACCACCAGTAGATGGGCATGCCTCTCTGTACCAGGGGCTGCTTTTTCACCCTGTTGGGATAAGCAAAGAAAAACCCCCTTCTTCTCCTGGATCACACATTCTAGTGGAAGGGTCAGTTACCTGATCTAGAACATCAGGTCCCTGTTTCAGTGGCTAAGTGAAAGAGAACCCCAGTAAACGTGGGCAAAGAAAGGGGTAAGTGTCAGACGCAGTGACTTGATAAGGTCTTTAAGGTAGTCAGTCCCCAGACCTCAAGACAGGAATAAGGATACCAGGAGGCCACGCATCTTCAGGGGCAGTAGGATAAGCTTGAGGAAAGGGCTAGAAAATCTAGAAATCATGGTGGGCAGTTTGAAAAGGCATTAAAAGACTTTGAGCCGCACTCTGATTTGTATTTAAGGATCGGTCTAACTGCTGTTTGTAAAGTCTGTAGGCCCCTGTGGAAGTGGATTAGAAAACAAAAGAAGCATTTTCCTCCAGGTGGCAGATTAGATTTGTGTGTAGCTGTAGAAAGACTGCCTATTTATTTTTATATGTATGGATATTTTGCTCTTCTGTGCTTCTGTAACAAGTGTGTGTGGTGTTCAAAGAAAGTAGGACATCCAATCCCCAGAGCTGGGGTTCTAGACTCTTAGGTGCTTCATGGGTGCTGGGAACTGAACGCAGGACCTCTGGAAGAGCACTGATTGTTCTTAACCACTGAGCCATCTCTCCAGCCCCTAGATTTTTGTTTTAAAAGGTACAGCTAATGAGATTTTGAACCAGGGATTGGCAAGCAAAATGATAACGAGTGACTTTTAGACCCTGGATCTGAAGGATGGGGGTGGAGGTTCCCCCACACTTTGGATAGCAGCCAAGTGGTTCTGGAAGAGAGGACTTGGTGCTCGGGTTTAAAATGCCTCAGATTTCTAAGGCGACCCAGCATGGAGTCCTGTGTATGAGATATTTCAGGAGGAGACAGGATAAGCATCTGGAGAGTCATTATGATGAGTTAGTGTTTCTCAAGTGTCTTGTGTATCATGCCCATCTGCTCATAGGGCCTGAGAGTCTGCATTTCCAGCAAGGCTTGAGTAGCAACCAAGTTATTCCAGAAGAGGAAAGAGTTGGCCATGTGGTATTTAAAATAGGAAGCAACAGAGGTGCTTAGCCCTCAAACAGGCCAAAAGATGGTACACTATTCTTTTGTTTTTGTTTTTGTTTTTTTGAGACAGGGTTTCCCTGTGTAGCTTTGGAGGCTATCCTGGATTTAGTTCTTATAGACCAGGCTGGTCTCAAACTCACAGAGATCCACCTGCCTCTGCCTCCCAAGTGCTGGAATTAAAGGATTAAAGGCGTGTACCACCACCACCCAGCTCCACTATTCATTTCTAAATAAAGGTGTACTGAGAAGGTGTCAGCAGCTCATCAGCTGCTGTTCCAGTAAGATGAGCACAGAGCACGATCATACTGTGTGGTTTAATAGGCCGCGAGGTTGGGGCAATGATGGACCCAAACGAGCAGAAGAGGATTGAAGTAGGAACAGGAACTCAACTCAAGCTTTGATGACAGCAATGCTCACTGGTTCAGTTATTTCTTTTGTTTGAAAGACTTTGGGGGGGGGAAGGGGTAAGGCAGTGAGCTAAGACAAAAATCTGCCTTTGAGATGCTTCGATTCTGGAATGCATAGGGGTAAAAGCTAAGTTGGTATGGAGAACATGAAATTGTTCTTGACCTTCCAGGTGAAGAGCCGAAGAGAGAGAGGGCGTTAGAAGTCAGTAGGAATTAAAGAATGTGTGTGAAATGTCACCTAGGGAACTAGGAACAAGAATGGTCCAGGGAAGTCAGTCTGAGCTATGGACATGCCAAGGGTTTGAGTCTGAGTCTTCTCTCCAGATGAGCCGACTGCAAACTGCCTGGGTGTAAGCATGAAAATACACACTAGCTTAAACCCTAGAGACAGAAAAGGTGCACTTCCCCAGCCCCGTGTGTATGCCCACTAGTGATGTCCTCTGCAGCATCCGGCCTCGTTGCCCTGTTGGACGGGGAGACAGCCCTTCAGGAGCAGCTGCTGGGAGGGAACCAGGTGGGCTCTGCTGCACTTTCTGAGCCAAGTGCCTGGGCTTTGGAATAGTGCCAGCTGTGTTTTCAATAGTGTGGTTAGTTTGGACTCGTCCTTTCTGTGATTCCCTGACCTCAGTACGCTAGTTTCGGAAACTCCATCCTGTTTAGTTTCTGGCCACGCTCTAAGCCAGGACTCCAAAGATCTTGTCAGGAGAAGGTGGGGTCACCGTGTCCTTGGCCTGCAGTTGGTTTAGATGGAAAGTGAGCAGTGTTGAATGGTGACCCCGAAAGCTGCTGATATTCTTGTCTCTGGGAGGTCTGAGGGACTGTTCCTGCCTCAGGTTTACTCTCTAAGGCTTCTAAATTAACAGATTTAAAGCAGAATTTTATTCTTTCTTTTTTTTTTGTTTTTTGTTTTTCGAGACAGGGTTTCTCTGTGTTGCTTTGGAGCCTGTCCTGGAACTAGCTCTAGACCATGCTGGCCTCAAACTCCGAGATCTGCCTGCC